ACCACTATTCATTACTGCACCAACACATCTTTATACCATCTGCACATATATAGAATTATAGACAGATACTGTATAATAAATAAATAGATAGATATGAACAGTGAAATAGATAGATAGATGTGAACAAAATTAGATAGAATTGAACAAAATTAGATAGATGTGAACCAAATTACATAGATAGATAGATAGATATGAAAAAATAGATAGGTAGATAGATAGATACGAAAAAATAGATAGATAGATAGATAGATAGATAGATAGATAGATAGATAGATAGATAGATATGAAAAAAATTAGATACGAACAAAATTAGATAGATAGATATGAACAAAATTAGATAGATATGAACAAAATTAGATAGATAGATAGATAGATAGATAGATAGATAGATAGATATGAACAAAATTAGATAGATATGAACAAAATTAGATAGATAGATAGATATGAACAAAATTAGATACGAACAACATTAGATAGATAGATATGAACAAAATTAGATACGAACAAAATTAGATAGATAGATATGAACAAAATTAGATAGATATGAACAAAATTAGGTAGATAGATAGATAGATAGATAGATAGATAGATAGATAGATAGATAGATATGAACAAAATTAGATCGATATGAACATAGATAGATAGATAGATAGATAGATAGATAGATAGATAGATATGAACAAAATTAGATACGAACAAAATTAGATAGATACGAACAAAATTAGATAGATATGAACAAAATTAGATAGATAGATAGATATGAACAAAATTAGATAGGTGTGAACAAAATTATCATCGTCTTTTTTTGTTTATTTTCCTTTTTTTCTCGTTTCGAATCTCATATCAAACTACCGATTAACTGAGAAGAAACTAAAATCATCTCCATAAAAGGCTTAGTGTACGGTCGAAATACCGACAAAAAGAAGGTCGCGAATTTTCTGGAAATAATCCATCTTAATTTGCACGTTTTTTTTTTGTTTTTTTTTTGTAATGAATAACGAATACAAAATCTGTCGTCGCGTGTTAAAGAAATGGAGACACGTTATTTCGCGAGGGTTTTTCGAAATTATTCAAAGCGTGTTGGCCATTAATCTGAGGAAGATAATCTTAATCCGATACGACAGAAAAACAGATTAAAAGAGAAGCCTACATTAATTCTAAATCATCGCTTTACGAAGAGTATTTGTTTTTAACTTATTCCGGCAAAATGGGAATTGATGATTCAGTTGTGTCATTACTTAAAAATGCTTATAGGTAAGCCTGTTTTCAAATGCAGTCCTCGAAATATTCTTTATCACTTAAATAACTAGAATTGTTATTAATATTAAAAAAAACATCGAGCTAATAAAATGATTCTTCTTTTCAAAATTTAATAAATTTTTCTCCTCTAAAGTAGGTTGATTTTGTTTAGCGGCATATCAACACCTCTATGGGTTATTTAATGCCGAAATCTAAATAGTTTGAATATAATTTTATAGTTTCAACTAAATGCATACAAGAAATATTTTTCGTTGGTGTAGAGAAACAGAAGATAATTATCTTCTTTTGGTGGAAATAAGTCACATGGATCACTTGACGACCGCTTAGTGACCGCTTACAAAGCGGCAGTCAAATTTCAGTAAAGGTTGCTTTCTTTGGACCGAGAGGAGGCTAAATATGTCTCCCTTGCAGCTTACAAGCCCATGTTATTGTTTCCCTTTGAGAATATATTTTTCCCATATAAAGTAGTACTTAATTTGTTAAAACGCAATCTTAGTTGTTTCCCGTTCATTTATGTCCTCGCCTGGGACATAGATGAATCTGAAATCTGGGGCTCTAAACATGGCTTCTCCAGCCACAGGTGTATCTCAGTATTATATATTTCTTTTTAATTCTCCTTACGTTCTGCTCTGTTGTGTAGATACACGGGATATATTATTCTCCGCGTGAGACATATGTGTATATATCTATATAAGATTTTGTGGGCATCTTAGTAATATAAAAAAAGAATACCCGCTCGGCCCGGTGGCTAGGATCAAAGTGTAGTATCTGCGCTTTGTGAGCTGCCGGGTCGGGTGTCTGTCGAACTCTCTGCTTGCAGAGAGGAACCCGGACGAAGCTCCGCCGAAGGGTGGGGTTTCGTTGGGGAGGTTGACGGAACTAGCCCGCTTGGACGGGTTTAGATGGGTTTTATTTTTGGCTGGGCCTACGGGCTCAGACATACCCACATTAAAAAGGCCTTGCGCCGCATTCAATTCCTGTGGGTGAATTGATAAATATCATCTTAGTAATATAAAAGTCTCTCTGAGAACAAAGTATGTTTCTCGTTCTGTTTCAGTTCCGCCCGTGAAATATAGTGTTATCATATCACACATCTACTAATGCTTATAACGGGAGAAATAGAATTGGGAGAATAAATCTTTCCACCTTAGCTCTTTTCCATTATAATGGTAATTTTAATATAAAGAGGTACATGTTGGTATTTATTATATAAAAATGTATTTTAATACTTTCATAGTGCTTTGATTTTGTTTGGTGGTTCGCTATTTACCCATAGCTGGGACCCTAAAAGGTGCTACTACCTCACATCAGGGAACAACAGCAATTAAGAGGTGTTTCCATGCTACTCAAAACCTCTCCATCAGAGGCCTTGTTGCCGGATGTAGGATATTGTCATACCCAGGAGTACTCATCAGACTCTTTTAGCACTAACAGTTAACACATCAGTAGTTAAACTAGCGAAGCGAAAGCCACGTTGTTTGCTTGTCTGAAAGAAAACTCTGCGCAGTTAGATGTCCAACCATTTTGGAGTTGATTAGAGCAGCTAGGAATTTCCCTAGAAGAAAAAAAAAACGAATTGGTATTTAGTTACAAGGATCAGAATTCTGTTGTTACTGATCCTGATGATTATGTTATTTTCTTCTTCTATGCACGTGTTCGTTCAAGACCTAAGCAGCTATGGCTCTCTACAACTTCCTCTTTTTTTTACTCCTTAGAAGAATTTACCGTTTTGTTATCTCTCCCAATCCCTGTTCTGCGTACCATTTGCACATGCTTGTTAGGTACGTAATGCGCTGCTTTCCTCTATCCCTCTTGACCTCACTATATCCTGTGAGTGTCAAATTTCCAAGCTGGCTTTCCTTATTATGGGCATTAGAAATTTCAACGTCATCTTTCGGTTCTTTTTTTCCCATTTCTCTAAAACTTCATCGTTGCTCACGTGTTCATTTCATCGTATTCTCAGCACCCTTCTGTAGAACCACATTTCTGCTGTCTCAAAATTCTTCTGCGGCTATTCTGAGAATGTCCAACTCCAAAAATATTCAAGTTTCCACAGCTTTGCACTTGCTAATTCTATAGTCACTAGAGATTAACCCTAGAGAAAATTTACCTGGTGGTAATGTTACCCTTAGAAAAAGTTTACGAAAAAGAAATGTACAAGAAATGTAATTTGGTGCGACCATACGAAAAAAATCCATCACACTTCTGAATAGATGGAACCAGAGACCAAAAGATGCCCATCTCGATATTTTTCCTTTGTTTCTGTCATCAGGGATTAATCCTTTTACCAGGGATTGAACCCGCGCGTGTGGTATTGCTTGGATTATGAAACAACCTTAAAAACAATGTCGTGTTTACAATATGTGACCAAGTGTACAGTTATCAAGGGTCAAACACTCCCCAAGCATCAAAGACAGTTCCCCGTTGGCGCTCGATCACCAGGGTCTAACCTTATGTCTCAGCTGAACAAGAGGTATTGTTTGAATTATGTTACCTTAGATGTGGACATTGCAAAAAAATTACAATGTCCACATCTAAGCTTCGTACGCCAAAGTGATGCACTGAGGAATTTACAGTTGTCTGCCTAGCGTACATGGATTACAAATTGTCACGTATACAATTCCGTTCCCCTTTGTGAGGCCACGTGTTGCCCTCTCTAGGGTCTGAAGTATTGTGATAATGGGGTTAATATCATGTCTCGTCGGGTGGAGCTATAGCTCTAGGCTGACCTACCAGATAATGGGTTAACGATAGAAGATTATTCTTCCATTTTTATTTCTTGTTATGAGTATTATTATATACATGACATTTTAACAGGACACTGAACCTGTTTAAACCTTTCAATGCTTGAAATTAAAGGATAGTTATTTCAATGGATTACTAATTGGATAATAATAATTAAAATTCTCAGGAGAGTAGGTTGAATGGTTGAAAAGAAAATTAAAAACGAAACGCGTTAAAATTTACGTTTTAAAAATAAAATGAAATTAGGAACAGTTCGCAGGAGACTCAAACTTAGATTTAATTAGAGAAGATTCGGTGAAATTTAGAAAAAAGAAAGAACCACAAACCTACCCAGTTCCCGTCGATAAGAGAAAGAGAACGTGTTGCTCGAATTTATCAGAATGGGAGAAACTAGAATTCGGAAGTTTGTTTACACTACACTATCTCTAGAAAATATGTCTGGTCACACAAAATAATGATCTAAATTAATTTAGAAAAAGAAACAAAATTTATATGTTTTGTCTTGAATCCCATGTGTTGGAATTTATTTACGTTGATCGCCCAATAACCCATTTATCTTTACCGTAAGATATCTGTTTATTTTACAATTTCAAAAATATTTTATGGTTTTAAATAAGCTGCAGAATGTTAATAATCCGAAGAAATGAATCAATAAATCAATGACATACTAATTAGCTACACAGGTATGTCTCTTTATTTACATTCTTTGTTATATAGATATAGAAACTACCCTGGCCACGAAGTGAGTGATCAGTTTATGTATTGATTGTCATATAGAATAGATCCCCCACTTTTTAAAGGTTATGTAAACCCAGAAAATATTTTTAGTTTTCTAAGAATTTTTCCTAGATATTAATGTCTAATGTTACACATCTTACTAATTAACCCATAGCTGGGGAGGGAGAAGAGATAGATTCATATTTTCTCAATTGAGAATTGGAACTCGGCTCTCCAATTAAGAACTTTAAGTCATTACGCCACACTCAAATCCAAACTTACAGCACCTGGTATTTTCAGACCGTCACCCATCTAGGTACTGACCAAGTTCAGCATTGCTTAACCTCGGTGAATTGAACGGGAACCGGTATTTCAACGTGATCAAAAGAACACTTAGATTCAGAAACTGAAAAAGACACCTGAAATTACTTGTGTACATAATGAGGAAAGAGTGTTTGGAAAACATGACATTCACAGGGAAAACAGAGGGCAATAGTGATAGGATAGCTAACCACTCACCAGACAGATCTACGTGAATGAATGAGGAAAAACAGAAGGGGTGGAGGTTTAGCAGAAGGAGAAACATTTTCTAAGTGTCACGAAAGATAGGAAGTTGTTGAGATCTTTGAAAATCCATTGCCTGAAGAGACATGACAAATAGAAGATAGTGTGAAACAGTAAATATAATCTGGGTATTGCTTACTGTTGTAGTAAAACCTCCTACAGTAGAATGAACTCTTCCTCCTCTCATAAATACTAACCTGCGAGACTTCCCAGTGTAGAGTCGTAGGACACTCTGACTTTGTGCGACTTCTGTCGAACTCTCTGCTTTGGCAAAGAGGAACCCGGACGAGGCTTTGCCGAAGGGCAAAGTTCCGTCCGGGGAGGTAGACGGATCCCCAACCCGCTTATGCGGGTTCTAAGGGAATATTTTTGGCCGATCCTACGGGTTGAAAGAAACCCACGTTAAACTCGGCCTTGTGGCACATACATTCCTCGTGGTGGGACTGTTAAATATCGACAGTCGACACTCAGTCTCTGACTGTGTGCGACGTCTGTCGAACTCTCTGCTTTGGCAGAGAGGAACCCGGGCGAAGCTTTGCCAAAGTTTCGTCCGGGGAGGTAGACAGATCCCGAACCGGCTTATGCGGGTTCAAAGGGAATATTTTTGGCCGAGCCTACGGGCTCGGAGAGACCCACGTTAAACTTGGCCTTGTGCCAGATACATTCCTCGTGGGAGGACTGTTAAATATAGAGTCGTTCGGCAGCCGAGACGCAGTTTTAACCTACCGTTCGGGCGTACACTTCTATCTGCTTATTACTAACACTCTTGCTTTGTATATATATATATATATATATATATATATATATATATATATATCTGTTATTTCAATACCCTTATTCAACCTACCTTCGTCTTCCGTGTCTTTCTTTCTGGCCTCTAAACAGGCCACAACAGTTTCTCTTCAAGCTACCCTGAGAGAGAAATGTGCAGAATTTATTAAAGACACGTTTATCAAAGTGACGTGTTAAGATACCTGGGGGACTTTTGGTGGAATCGAACCTGCATTGTTCATATAAAACAAAGAAAAGGACATTGGAATTTTTAATCAGTCGTGCAATCTTCGTTAGTGTTCGGGAACACTATTGTACAACGGGAAATTAAATGAACCAAATGATATGAATCTCTCCATGTAAATTTACTATCAGTTGACAGAAAGCCGGCATGGTCTCTTAATCAACATGATTGAATGCCGTTCTGTTGTCAGTTGGTGAGCAGTGAACAAGGAGAAAGTGTCGAAAAGTATTCCCGTAAATGTGAGTTTTCAACGGCCTAATGTCATATTTGAATTAGCCCAAGAAATCCCAGGTAGGAATTATTGAAGAGGTGTCAGTTCAGATTACACACTAACAAAATGTAAAAAGTAATCTAATCAATAAAATAGCATTCGTTTCTTTTTCTTCTTCTATGTGAAGTGTTTCTTGAGGGTGAAGGTGTTCAGGGCGGGGCAGTTCAGGGCTCACCACAATTCACTATTCTCTTAACAATATTTCTCTATTTTCTATTTCTCTTAATCCCTGTTCTTCTATTAATTTAAGCTCGTTAAATAGGTTAATCGTTCCTTCTCTGATTCCATCTTGCATTCAGTACGTCCTGTGAGTGTTGAAGTTTCCAAGCCCTATGTCCTCATTAGGAATAATCTTATATTTAATGACATAAAAAGCAAGAGGGAGAAATATAATTAAGAAAATAGAGCAATCATATAAAATCTGCCATCATTTGTTGATGTCAGTAAAAAAAGGACTTATAAATAACTTTTAGTTTAATATGCGATATGAGAAATTGTGTCGAGTATCCAATATCAAATAAGGAAAAAAGTAAAAGTAAAAAAAAACACACACACAAATAAAAATGGATTACATTCTTTTTAATCATTTCACCCCAAGCAAGGCAATAAAGACACAAAGGGGGTTACTTTCTGTGGAAGAATATAAGAAACATGATTAGGGAAGTGATAAGACAATTAAACAAGATTTAACGAGCCAGATAGATGTACAGAGATATATATATATATATATATATATATATATATATATATATATATATATATATTATTTATAAAAAATATAACATAAGTATGTTATAAAATCACTACAAAAATAGCCATTTTGTTTCAACACACTCGGTGTCTTATGAAGTGATGATGTTGAAGATAAAATAAATGGTTTTAAAAGTTTCAGATTAATTAACGATCCATCACTAGGGGAAGCATTGTTACAAAAGCTAGAATAACCAATCAAAAACCAAATATTGAAAGATTCAAAAGCTTGACAACGAAATCATGTTATAATAGCTATTCAGATCTTTAAAATACGTGTAATATTAAAAATAATTTATACTAACCAATAATTATAAAATTATAGGATAAAATTTAATATTAAAATTAAAAACTGGCTATTTTAAAATCCAAATTTAATCACTATTAAGTTTAAAACCTACAAAATTATTGAGAAAAGAAAAAATATATATGTTTATTCAATTTATTTCTTCGTTGAAATTACGTTCGACAAGACGCTACAATATATCCGGTCATTTGACAATACATGCATATATATTTTTTATTCTAAAGTGTGTGAATGTGGTCTTAAACTCACGCGCAAAACAACAAAAACACAATCAGATTATAATACATAAGCACCCAGACATATTTAGATACACACACACACACACACACACACACAAAAAAAAAAAAAGAAAGGGAAGGAAAAGAAAAGGCGACGAGACAGGAACATCACTACAACCCTTTATGAAAAAAGGAAACGGGGAAATCAACACCTATACACACACACAATTAAATGTGAATACACTCTACATACACATAGACACCGATAGATACACGTACACACATCCACAGATACACGTCCACACATCCACAGACAATGACCTAGACAATCAGATACCACAACCAACAAATATTTAAGACTTAACGTATCATTAAATAAATGCTAACCACTTATTAAATTATAACTTAAGGGAGCAAATATACAAAGATAAAAATGGTTAAAAATAATATTATTTAATATATTAAAACGAAAATTACAAAACCACAAATATCAATAAAAATATATTTTAATCATATAAGTTGATAATAGTTTCATTATATATTAGGCAAAGATAAACAGGATAAAGAAACCCACAGATACATATATATACACGCGGCAGCAAACACTAACACACATAAACATGCACTCATACATACATATACATACAGAAATACATACATATAAATATATAAACATAAACATATACGCACATATACATATCTATGATCACAAGTACACATGCACACACATATACATATAAACATAAATACACACATTTTTATGCACACATACTCACATATATAAAAACAGTAATGACATATCAAAGTTTCCATAACCACACATACACACAAACTCATACATAATAGGTGCCAACACACACATATACATGTGTATATATGTGTGTATTAATAAGGCTTCCATTATTTCTAGCCATTTTTTAGCATGTAGATGATGCTATTATTATTTATGTATGGAAACTAAATAAAAGCGCGTTGTCTTGTATTCAATGAAATGTGCATGAAAGAAGGACTGCTGCCTAAATACACAAATATATATATATATATATATATATATATATATATATATATATATATATATATATATATCATAAAGAAACAATTTATACAAAGAAATAAATAGCAATGTTAATGTGTATAATTGCGAAATCAATTCGCTAAAAATACTTTATGAAACATTACCTTACTATCAATTCCTTGAATAATAAGGTCCATATATTTGAATTGTTGTCAGATGGAAGACACTTGACAGATTCAAATTATCATCTCAGGGCGTAATTTTTCCCCATGCAAAAAAATTACATTTGATCGATTTGAACAAGTGTTCCCTCCAAAACATATATTCAACTCTCAATAAATAGCATAATTTAAAAAGACATCTTTCGGTCGACACATATTATTGTTTGCCTACGAAAATTTGTAAGTCCTTAAATGACTCATGCTCACTGTGTCATGAAAACTGCATATTATTAAGTTTACTAAAAATAATAATCTCCTAAATCAGAGAAATGAATTCACAGTAATTTGTAGGAATTGTATATTTACATTAAAATATACTTAATACAATTTATGCATTACCATTATATATTTATTAATTTATTAATATATAACGATCCATATAATATTTATTTAATTCTTTGATTTTTCAACTTTAATATTTCCCCATTCAATATAATAAGTATCGTAATTTGGGTTCAAAATATATAGAAAATAACTAAATCCCACTAGAGATCACTTGCTAAAAATATCTCTCTGTCTACTTCACTATATCTTAAATTTATATTCGTAACTTGATGTTGTTCGTGATGACGTGACTTAAAAGTGTCAATTTAACTAGACATGTATCAATAACGCACTATGAAAATTTCTCGGACATTCAGGCCGGTAAATGTTATTTAATACTGTTTATCATAAACAGAGCATTTGCTTAAATACTTGTATCTATAAATAACAACGTTAAACATAAAAATGTCTTTAATAAATATATATATATATATATATATATATATATATATATATATTGGTGAAAATATAAAAAAGAACGAAACTTACAACTCGACTGCAATATTCATTTTATTACGAAAAAGTGTGCTCCAAGATATTTTGGAGTGGAGAGTGGTGGTGTTTTCCGTGTGTGTGTGTGTGTATTTTTTTTGTTTTTGGTTTTTTTTTTTTTTTTCATAATAAATTTTTCAATAAATAAACATGTCTCACTTTTTTTTAATTTTCTCTTATTTTAAGTACAAAATTATTATTTTTTGACCAATCGTCAGTGTAAACTGACCAGTTTACCCTGACGATCCGCATAGGTGAAACCTAGGTAGGTTTACTTAGTTTGCTCTACTTAGCGTATTGAGAACTTTGCTTTGTTATTTTTACTTTACTTGTGTTGGAGGTTTTTTCCTTTGGACTCTGAACTTTCATTCTAGATGATTATTTTCACCGGAAGTACATGTTCTTAGTTCTTTCTTTTTTCCCCCTTTTTTCCCTTTGGGTATTGGTTTGTTCATTTACAAGCTAAAAGACGTAAGGTTTTGCCGGACGAGTATAGCTGCAGTATAAGATTACAAATATATACATACATACTACATACATACATACATATATATATATATATATATATATATATATATATATATATACATTACACATATCTCACCAAGAATTTCTAGATATAGAGCAGGGGTACCAGACCATATGTGGCAGCAATATTCTATGCATAGACGAATACTAATCATGGTATATGGTGGATATTTAAGACAGAGACAGGAGAGACAAACTATCCCGAGTAACACAGTGAACAAACCTTAGCAGCTGACCTCGAAATGAATTCAATGTAATATTTACACTCCATGTCAGCAATGAGTCACTCTTCTGGAAGTCAACATCAGACAGGCTGATGGAAGGCAGAAAAGGTTTTCTCAGATGATTAACAGAGAGGAGTTTCAAGCATTAAAATTAATAAGCCATTCTTTGACCCGATTAACAACAGAGTGAATATCTTCTTTTTTTTGTGCCTCGGCCGCCATTTTAAACTTATTGGGATGATCGGACTCACTCCCTGAGACAGGAGTAAATGGTTCCGTCATCAGCGTAAATACCAAGGTAAGAGTTGATGTAATTGGGAAGGTCATTAATGCAAATTAAAAACAAAGTAGACCCAATGACACCTGTATTATTACGAAAGGATCTTAAAGAGTGACCGCTCAGAATAATTTTCATTTCACGACTTGTCAAGAAGGAATGGATCAAAAATTTGTCTCAATCTGAAGACGCTATTTAAAGATAATGATTAGAGTTTTCAGATTAATGTCTTGTTTTTTTGGGGTTTTTTTGTTTTGTTTTTTTAGTAAATTCGATTATTGGAAGAAACTACCTCTGTCACAGACTTTCTCGTTCTGCTATGAAAACTGATATTAATTAATAGTCAGTATTAATTAACCCATCATCCTCCAATAAAAGAATGGATGCAGTATAGTGATTTTCATTACGTTTGTCATTATAGTATTGGCGGTGTTCAATACAAAGATTTTGCTTCAGGTGCGAAGACATTAGATTGCGAGGACAGAGCACAGTTCTTTTACAATGGTAAGAGAAGTAGGAACTTCAGAATCCAAGGGCTTAGGACCTTACATCAATAAGATTTCAAACTGCAATTCCCTGATCGATTTATTTTCCCAGTTAACATAACTATTTTCCTGTCGACTGAATTCGGACAACTAAGCCCTTAATGGAAGCAAACCTTGGCGCCACCTGGGACCGCCGCTATGTTGGAAAATTGCATTATACGCCCTGGATGAAATGAATAGAGGGAGATGGTTTTGGAACTTCGACGAATCTTCTTCCCAGAAGATCGAATCAATATAAGAGAGGGCACATGTTTGGAATGTCACACAGTTGGGCAAAAGAATAAGGCTACCACTGTAGCAGAAAGAAATTGCCCAGGTTCTTGTACTGAATATATAAAGTATTATATTCCTTTCTGTTATGATTCCCATTATTTACTGAGTATCGGAATGAAGATTTTCAAGCATATGCTAAAAAAAGTTCGCATCGTTTCAGACATTTCGTTCTGTATTAAATAAATTAGTAAACAACTGCCTATTTGCAATTGTCTTTACCCAGTTTCGACAATGACGCAGGAGTGAATACATCCAAGGGAGCCAACGGTGGGTGTTCGTGTTCTAGTTTAAATCAGGAGAGAGAATTATCAAATTGACATGGACAGTTGGATATTTGTTGACGAAAATAGTTTAAACCCCATCACTGTATTTTGCCAGGTATAAAATATTAAGCCCACTGTCTGTTAGTCAGTCAATCTATCTATCTATCTATCTATCTATCTATCTATCTATCTATCTATCTCAGCCTATTCATACCAATGTATCGATCTATCTTATATAATTAATATATATCTTTATATCTCATTTGTTTTTATCTATCTATCTATCTATCTATCTATCTATCTATCTATCTATCTAAGTATATTCATATCTATCGATCTATACTTTTAATATATATATATATATATATATAATAAAAAAGGCTTAAACACTAATATTCCATGGTCATAATTTATTCCATTGGAATCGTAAATACGGATATCAATATATATATATATATATATATATATATCAATCGCCTTTGTTTTTATCTATCTATCTATCACCGTATCTATCTATCTATTGGAGTCTCATATCTATCTATCTATCTATCTATCTATCTATCTATCTATCTACCTACCTACCTAAGTATATTCATATCTATCGATCTATATTATATTTTTACTATATATCTCTATATCAATCTTCTTTGTTTTTATCTATCTATCTATCTAACATCGTATCTATGTATCTATCTATTGGAGTCTCTTATCTATCTATCTATCTATCTGTTGGAGTCTCTTATCTATCTATCTCTCTATCTATCTATCTATCTATCTATCTCTCACCGTATTTTGTGTCAAGAGGCATTTACCGTCCTTTACATCATGAACGGACCAGTCAATCCATGATAAGTAGTCCTGGGTAATTGTCTAGAAGAAAGACTATTGCAGTGAATTGTCTAGCCGAGTACGGATACGACTCTCACAACTGACTCCACATCACAACAGTTGGAGATGAGTATGATTCAATGGTCATTATAATAGTGATGGACAAAGATTCGGTTTGTTTTCAACATGTGAAATCGGAAAGTCGAAAAAAACTTACGCCGTAAAAAAGGGAAATATTAAAACAGTTGAAATATACATTGGAATCAAATTTCTAAGTCATACATTTAAAAATTGAAAAGTTGAAAGCAATAATGTTGAAATTAATAAAACGACAGCAAGAACTACGACAATAACAACAAGAACAGTTACAACAAACATTGTTGAGACAACAAAAAATATAAAAAATATTAGAGCTTTTTTTATGGTGAGTAAAGATAGCGAAAATACGTCTATGTTATTCTCACTGAACTCAGAAGTAAATGCAAATGGCGAATTTAAATACAACCCTGGTGAAGGGGTTATATTTGCAGCATACAACAGACGCTGTGAAGAAATCTTTAAAAAAGAATGTGTAATTTGGTCGGACAAGAAAATTTGCGCCTGATACTAAGAAATTTAGAGTTCAGAGAACATGAAAGATACGTAAATTACATACTGCAGAAAAAAATCAAATGAATTGTCGTGTTAAGAATCTATTATTTTGTTAAGTAAAATTTTCAGTGTTCATTGTTCAGTTCATATTGACAATGCCTACACTTTGTAGAAAAAGAATATGAATGTTATACATCTCAGGATATTATCGTTAACAGGGAATTGAAAAGTTCTAGTTAAACGGACCAATACCAGATATGTTTAAGTACTTGATCTTTGTACAAGTATTGACAGGAAATAAGGATGAGGAAATCCGTTCAAGAATTTTGACTTTGGTTGAACAGGACTCAAATCTGACCTTGCAAGCTGAAGAGTGTCAAAGAATAGTGAACTCATGATACAATCCGGGTAAAATGGATGAAAGAGATAAATCTGGCATAAATTCGGTTCGTTCCAAAGCTTAGGGGAAAAACAAAATACTTTGCAAAATCAAATCCATATTAAGGATTCGGCGAACTACATTTCAAGGGGAACTGTCTTTTAAAAAATGTTTCGGCTGTGGAAACGCGGAACACAAGAGTTCGCATTGTAAATTTCAAAAAAAGCATAAAAGTCAAAATTCAAGAAAACTGTAAACGTAGCGTCGACAACAAACAACGTAGACATGGGTAGAAAAAAAGGTTTATAATCGTAAAAATAAACAGAAAAACTATAATCTGTTAACTAGATACGAGGTTAGATTTGACTATTAAAAACAAAGAAACCTGGGAAAGAATCGTAAATCAACATTAACATTACCAAAAATATGTCCAGGATGTTATTAGACAGAAATTTAAATTTAAAGATGTGTTCACATCAGATTTATTGTTTTATGGGAAAACGGCAAAGACTAAAAGCATCCGTTATGGAAAGAACTTTCAACTTGTTCGGAACAGATTGGATGCAACTGTTCAATTTATGGGATTTGTTCATAAACTACTTTTTCTAATAAAGTGGATGTTTTTTCAAGTAACTCTGAAAAGCTAATTAATTTATTCCTCAAGGACACATAGCACAGTTGGTTAGATCCAATGACAGAACCCAAAGAGTGTGAGTTCAATACCCGGTTAAGGCAGTGGAGAACTTGGAGAGGGGAATGAATAAGAGATAACTGATAACTAACATTCATTAGACATGGCATGTGGAACTAGAACAGTCTACCCCAGTGAGCGAAATATAAGGTTCAGTTAGACATTCCAACCACCTGAAGAAGGCCGGAGCGTACAACTGCCGAAACGCCGTAATACATATGGCGACAAAGATGAGAACAATAGTCCGAATAATATAAATGGTGTACATAATACCTCATCTCTGAAATATACAGATACTGAAGGGCCGAAACGTTGTAATAAATATGGTGACAAAGATGAGGACAATAGTCCGAATAATGTAAATAGTGTACATAGTACCTCATTTCAGCAATATAGACAGAGGTTGAACGGCCGAAACGTTGTAATAAATAGGGTGACAAAGATGAGAACAATAGTCGGAATAATGTAAATAGTGTACATAATACCTCATCTCAGAAATATAGACAAACACTGAAGGGCCCAAAGGTTGTGATAAATATGGTAACAAAGATGAGGACAATAGTCCGAATAATGTAAATAATGTACATAATACCTCATCTCAGAAATATAGACAGATACTGAAAGGCCGAAACGTTGTAATAAATATGGCGACAAGGATGAGGACAATAGTCCGAATAATGTAAATAGTGTACATAATACCTCATCTCAGAAATAGAATTTCTGCTATAGAAAAAGCAAGTAAGGTGGAAACTGAAGGAGAAAAATAAAATTCAATCAAATATTGACGGTGACAATATTTTCTTAATCTGCGATGAGGTCATAATGTCTGGTGAAAGAGTGGTTATACCTGCATTTTTAAAAAAAATGATATTGAAAGAATTTCTTACAGGTCTTTTCTAGAATGAAATCCCTCATGTGCAGCTATGTCTACTTGTCCAATATGGACAAAGACATAGAGAAATTGGTAAAAGCGTGCGAAGGTTAAATTCCACACATCTATTTTGCGGAACCGATAAATGGTGTAAACTGCCTAATCGTAGTCGCCTTTTTTTTTCCAAATGGCCAGATTATATATATTGCTAAAATCAAATTTCTACATTTACAATAAACTTATTGTATGGATTATTTAATAGATACGCAATCCCGGATACTGTTCTTTCGGACACTGACACGCAATTCACGGCCAACGTCTTTGAAAAAAATTGCGATACAACATATCAAATCTCTCCACTAACATCCAAGATCAATTGAGCAAGCAGAACGCTTTGTTGATAGATTCAAAATGGCAATAGAAAAACCAATGGAGGTGAAAGTAAGGATATATTATAGTTTTTACGTGTACATCGAGTGACACAGTATCAGGTATTTCCCCCGAGAGAACTAATGGAAAATTAGATTGGTGTATGGCAAATTGGTGCTGAGTAAAAAAATAAAGGCCGAAAAAAAGGACAACTGCTTTTAACCCTCGAAAAAAGATTTATTTCGAGCTTAAAAAAATGTAAAGTAAGGGTAGGAAGATGCTGTAATCTAGATATATATCAGAAAGTTATTGTGTGTGATAACAGAGTGTACATGAGTAAAAGGCGTCTAAATAAGAAAACGGTACTGGGACAAATAGAGCATCAGATTCATGATAAGTAGTCCTGGGTAATTGTCTACGCAACAAACTGTTATGGTCCAGGTTAGGACCAAGGAAGAACAACATGAACACAAGAGTAGAAATAACGAAGGTATATTACACTAAATAATAATACAAGATGTGGAAGGTGTTAGTATGACTGTCAGTCTGGTTTGGAGTGAACTACTATCGGCTCGACTTGATTCGTCCCTCTCTCTTGAGAGGCGTAGTATACATAGTGTTAGAAAGAGTTCATTCTGCAGTTATAGATAAGGACCCATGACACAAAGCAAAACAGGAAGTAATGATGAAAAAATGAAAAGAAAAAATAACTAAAAACTGTAGGCGAACAGGGTTTGATGGACAGAAGAAAAACGAAGGAAGACTAAAGAAAATAAAGAAAGAAATGACACGTTGAACAGTGATACTTACGGATGCACACTGGTGCTACAATATCAATTTTGATGAAACATTTTAGTGACAGACGGATTTTTTTTTCGAAGGTTTAGAACCATGTGCAAAAATCGATTGTTGATTTTGATTGATACCCTTTAATTTTTTTGTGTCTGTCAGTCTGATTTTTTTTCATTTTATTATAGATAAATCTGTCGGCGAAAGTTTCGCTTTTGAAAGAAAGTTTTCTGGAGAAGGAAATTTGACCGGTAAATAAATGGTGATCTTTGAAGAAGTTTGTTCATGTACCACGTGGAAACCTGAATTCACATACGTAACAAATACGTAGAAAATTCGTTTGAAAAATAAAGACTGACCGCATTCTGTGATGGGGCATTCTCATTGTGATTTCTGTGTACTGTTAATGGGTTGAACATTTTTGTTACTATATATAAGGATTGTTCGGTATTCTATTGTTTGTTAAAAAATGTTTGTGAAGCGTGAAAAAAAAACATTTGTTTGTTCACTCTTTTTTCAAGAATGGTAAATGTTTATGCCGGCGGGGGCATGTCCCGAGGCCCAGTGAGGAAAAGATGCACGCTTTTCTTACACGAAAAAGTAGAGTGGAGTTTATAGTAACATAGTGGAAATAAAATTCATAAATGTTATTTTTTTTTTTATTTTGTTAAATAATAGTTTACATGACTATTAATTTTATGGGGAACAGGATCTTTGCTCGGATTTCCTGAGATTGACCTGAGGGATCAAATAGAAATCGAGACAAGGAAGTCGATTTTGATTGGCTAAACAAGCGTGGAAATGATAGAGACATAGAAAGGTTTTTAAGTGAGTTGGACCTTACACGTCAAGCAATGTAGACGTGTTGATTTTCGAGTCTGGAAACTGCCCTCTAGTGGAGGAAGAAAGTGACCACCCGCACCAACGGGGATATGCAACATTGTATTATTTGGCGCAGTGACCAAAACCACACAGAATACTGAAGTGGGGATTATACAATGATATTATTAGGTTCCCCTGTGAAAACGCTTTATTTTCGAGCTTGTTTGAATCGAATGGCGAAGGATGACATTATATATGTGATTATGTAAATTGTATTAGAAAGAGACGGAGTTAAATCGAACTAGATAAGCTGGGATTGTTACGGTGACCAACGTCTCCCCCAATCGGCATAGTGCTAAAAATAATGTATTGTATTATTATACATACACACAAACACACACAGACTAATATATATATATATATATATATATATATATATATATATATATATATATACCCAAGTATAGGATTTATAACATAAATATTTTATAAAATCACATATTTAAGTT